TGGTTTAAACCTATAGCACATACAGTACTATACGTATACCTCCTTAGTCTGTGTACCCCATAACTCTCACAGGTACCATAGTTACCATTTATATGCGTGTACCTATCCTCAATTTCCCAACCCACGTGGCACCAAATGGTGCTGTTACAAACCGAAATGTAACAATACTGAGATTCTAAGAGCAGAGCACCATTTCAGACTCACTCAAATACCGCTGGACATTTTACACTTTATATTCACTGAGATTGTTTAAACCACAGAATCATTTAGCAATAGCAACTTTGTTCCCTTTTGAAAATAAACCAAGAAAAGCAGGACACAGTTAGACCATGTTGTAGATTAAGATATCCATATCACACTCTTGTCTGTCCATGACGAAAGCTCCAGCTAAGTGTATTTACCTTACAAAATGTGTCTGTGCAAACCCTCAAAAACAGCTTTTCACTCCTTCACAATAATAATACCAGGTTTCGAAATACAAAGAAACAAGTCCTGCGCTCAAACTCCCACTACTCCTGGGTGGCAGCAACGACCATAGTACACATCAGCCCAAATACACACAGTAAAAACCAACGAAAACAAGGGGGGGGGGGAAATACCAGGTTTAGAACAACATTCGGATACATTTATCTGTTACTTCTCTGGTTACAATAACATATTTGTTAGTCCACCCATTGTACAGGGCTGCGGAATTTATTGGTGCTATATAAATAATAATAATAATAATCTAGTCAGTCTGTCCGTCCACCCATCCGTCTGCCTATCTGTTGTCTGTCCATCCATCTAGTTATCTACCTGTCTGTCTATCTTTGTTCAGTAATATGCCGTGACCGTTGGCCAGCAATCTCCTTTTCCATGATGAATTAAGGAGTGATGGGCCGCATACAGACACTGGATGAGGCTGGGGAGGAATCATATAGAGCCATGCCTTCACTTCTAGTCCATAGCCACTTTACTCCAACAGAGCCATGTTTGCCTGAATCTATAAATTGTTTAGTTTGGAGGCATTCTGTAATGTGCACTGTGCGAGGCCAAATACATTCTCCTAACTGACTTAATGCCTGGGCCTTCTATGGGGACAGGGTAACTTCTTACACCTCAAAAAGGAAATACAAAATGTGTTTTATTCCTCCATACAAAACGCCAGCATGGTAACACCGGGGACGGCTATCAGATCACGTATGGAAGGTATTATTGCCATCATTAAGCAGAATGAAGACCTCCCTATAAAAGCCCTGTTGCTTCCTTTTAAAAATATCAGCCAATAAAACAAGTTCTCTCTCTCCATCCAGCACTTAGATCAAATATTCAGTATTATATTATGTGTTTATTTTCTGCGCGGTGCTCCCAGTGTGTACAGGGTGTAGATACTATTTATTAATGAGGACAGGGCGCACTGTGGAATGCTGCCGCACTATTCATCACGTTGGGAAAAGACAAGGTTATGTGTATTTACTGTGGGTGAAATGTAATAAAGGTGTGTGTTTAAGATCAGTCATAGGGATTTAAAAGTTCATTCTACTCAAGTGATATGATTACGCTGTTATCGATGTGACCTCAATCTATTCATGTTTCTCATACACACTTAAATCAGGGGGCAGCCAGTCTGAATGTACTGGGTTGACTGCTATCCAATCTTATGGCAGCCATTTGCTGTGGCAGGAGTAATTCTATTTTAGGGGCAGCCATTTTAGATGTGATGTAATTAGAGTTATTCTTATGGTACAAAGATGACTAGAGAAGTGGTCTATGTTTTGTTCTTTTCAGAATTATTATTTTAAACCTGCAATATTTATTAATTTATTTATTTAAAGTATAAAAATAATCCAACAGCCATTACCACCAACCGTAAAGTTGATAAAACATTATTAATCCCCGTATTGTTTAAATTTTTAGTTTTTGGGAAATAATTACATATTTAGAATTAAGGAAAAAGTAAAAAAAAAGAAACAAAAGAGAGGAAAAAGAAATGGTGAGAGTAAAGGAGCCATCAACCAGCTGGATCAGGTGTCGTAGTGGGAGGAGTCTTCTTTTAACGCAAACAGAACACAACCCTATGAACAGTTGAGCACAGAGAATGGAAGGTTGGGACCACTAGACCTTAGCTAGCACCTTATGTATTTCTCTTTCTGAAGTCTATAAACTAAACATTATTCTGTTGACTAAACCTGTTACATTCACAGACTACCTACCTTCCTTTACCAGATACAAGCATTCAGGTAACATCAATTATTCTGCACGCACACCAAACTTCAAACCCTTCCAGTAGGCAATATGAAAGATAGTTCAAGGACTGGGATGAGCCATTCTCTATAGAATGTAAATCTTTTACCATATCTACAATACAGACCTTAAAGTCAGTGAACTAAACATGATCCCTGGTATGGAGCCATCAACATGTGGCTGGACCCTTAAACTATCATTGAATTCTTTTTGCTATATTGTCCACCGGATACGTTATTACATTGGCAATGATCAACCGTTCTATGTGAAATCCCTGGGATAGCATTATGGCACCCTTCAAGTTTTACTGAAATTGTCCTAGCTTTATCTCAGCCCTGATGGTGGATAATTTAGACTACAATAAGTTGGATATTTTAGCCCCATCACTCCACCAATTATTATTATAAATGTCTATATAAAGGCTGATACAGACAGGGTTTTTCACCAACATGTGGATATTTTGAAATTCAGTTTGACTTTCCAATTAGGAATGTTTCCATTATTGGTGGTCCATTATTCTGAATTCACTTAATTACAAAAAAAAATAAAATCGCACTTTTATGAATAACCCTAATTCAATTTGATGGCATCTGATTTTGGGTGTTGATCTCCACCTAGTGGTTACTGGCAATAACAACAGTGTACTGTAAGTGTGTTATCTGCATAGTGAAGTGCTGCTGCATTTAGGGCTTGAGATAAGGCCACGCCAATTCCACGTGGGGAACACCATCCACAAAAACCCCACTAAAAACTGGTATAAACACAACTGCGTAGCTATTACAAAACCAGGTCTTATTTCTGTGATCGCAGGAGATTGATGAGTTTGCAAACGCAGGTATTCCTCCTATAAATGTATAATAATATAATCACATGTGCGCATCCCATACAGAAACACAGTCAGAGAGCAAACTGTGCCAGTCAATGCAGGTTTTAAGAAAACTTTATTTGCTAATATTTCAAGCAGGGAGAACAGATTGGGTTAATGCTTAGCTGCCAACGCATCCAAAGTTAAAGAGTTAGGCTCTTACAGTCATAAAAGACTTGTTTTGCTGAAGAAAAAAAGGGAAGTTGTGGTACTGCCGCAAACACCAGAATTTATACAAAACACTGATTAAGGTGCACACACAAAAAATACAGTTTTACATTTTATAAAGGCTACTTAAAATCACCTTAAAATCATGGGGATTCAGTTCCACTATACTGCCTTATTGTGTTAAGCCCACCACTATGTCACAGTACCCCAATATCGGTGGGTCCTACACTAATTTTAACATGGGAGACAAATTAAATAGTGCTAAATAAGCTAAAGTGTATTTAATTGAGCTGTTGTAGGAGCATTGTGAATATATATAATGCAAAATTAAAATGATAAAAAACACAATTCATGCTTACCCCATTTGAACAAAATTGTGCAGACCCTAACCCACAGCCCCACGTGTTTTTTTTTTGTACTCCCTATTCCGAACACAATGGGACTTTCTGGCCCCTAGTTATATGGGGAAATGGGAGGAGGCCCTCGGGGAAACTCTCACAGCTTATATATTGTGTGTGAGTTCACCAGGTAAGTTATGTATTGTGCGTTACAGGAATACAAGCATATCTATTGGGGGATGATTTCAGGTAATGTGTCAGCCTAGAGCAGGTTATGGGCCTTGTGATGACACAATTGATTGGTCCTTCCTAGCCCTTTTCCTCCACTCCGCGATCATGTTCTTCATTACACCTGGCTCTCTCAGTGAGTGCTTGTGTCAGTGGGTGCTTTGTGTCAATGAGGGATTGTGTCAGTGAGTGTTTGTGCCGGTGTGTGCTTGTGTCAGTGAATTCTTGTTTCAGTGTGTGTATGTCATTGAGTTATTGGGTCAGTGAGTGCTTGTGTCAATGTGTGCTTGTGTCGATATGTGTTTGTGAGTGCTTGTATCAGTAAGCGCTTGTGTCAGTGTGTTTTTGTGTCTGTGTCTGCTTATGTCAGTGGTTGCTTATGTCAATGAGTGCTTGTGTCAGTGTGTGCTTGATTCAGTGTGTGTATGTCAGTGAGTGCTTGTGCCAGTGTGTTCTTGTGTCAGTGTGTGTATGTGCCTGTATGTATGTCAATTAGTGCTTGTGTCAGTGTGTTCTTGTGTCAGTGTTTGTTTGTCAATTAGTGCTTGTGTCAGTGAGTGTGGTGCACAGTGCCTGTGTTATACATACACACATGGGTTGAGGTTTAGGGTGTATCGAGGAATTTGGCCTTGGGGCAGCAGAGAGGGTAAATCTGATCTGGTGTACCAAGCGATATCGGGGTACTGTGGTATATTGGTTAACGTGATATGACCATATGGTGGAACTGAATCCCCATATTTGTTTGCTGGGATACAGAATTTTGTGGGCAGGTTAATGACACTGCCGGAGGTGAAATTAAATAAGGGGTTTATTTCTGTGTGTGCAGAAATCATATATTTGTACGTGTGGTGTTCCCCACTGCATGTCATCATCATTTAGGATGTTATCTGAATGAAAAATACTAATTTAGCTCAAAGTCTAAATGAAGCTGAGTTCATTTTAAATCACATAAAAAACAACTTACATGAATAAGAAACTTGCTGAAAAATAAAAATAAACCAACTTCAGCTCCTTTTGAGCCTGAAGCAGCATGTGAGCAGTTAAGTGAGAATGGATTATGGACTTTGGGGCCTCTGACAGAGGTGAAAGGGTTAAAACTAAATTTGCAGAGTTTGCTTAAAAGTTGTTTTCCTTTTCTAACTACTTGTGTGAGTTCTAGTTTCTGTGTGAATGCATAGGCAAGATATGAGTAAGGTGTGAAAATGACGTAACCCAGTGTGCTAGATTCACGGGGCAAGTACCATATCTGTCCGGACCACGTTTGAAGGGATGAAGTAGCAGATTCAATTTCAGGAGTGGCTACATATAAAAATATACATAAAATATGTGATCAGGTAAACTATACAGACTACTCATGGCAAAGTCAGCTCCGTAGAATGAAGACATCGTTAAATACGCTGATTTAAGTCTTATTAAGGTGGGAAGTAAGGGCACGGCTTCCGCTGGCATTTGACAAGAAGATTGGCGTCAGTACCACAGCGACTGGGAATTCTATTGGAACTTAGACGGTATGTAAACTAATTGTAACAGTGGGACTGCACATCCTGTGGCACCACACCTAATGAGTGGTTAAGGTAGGGGGCTATTTAATGAGGTTGGGGGTCAGGTTATGGGGAACTGTGCTCCCAGACTCATAGAACGCAGGGTTACAGAATGGGGTCTATTAAAAAATATATTATTTTAAGGCAGCATTGACTGGCACAGAACAAGAAATTTCCTGCTTATTTAGCAATGTACCGTAATAAAAAGGAAGCAGAATAAATGAGGCACGATGATTTCATTCCTGTTTTTATTGTTAAAATAGAAAGGGAAACTTTCTCTGTGAGCACAAAACTGTCTAAAAATGGAAAAAGCATCTGTATATATCATCGCTGTGTAACGTAAAGCACTGCAAAATTTGCTGGCACTATAAAAATTCTAATCATAGCAACTAATAATACTAAATAATATTAATAGTAAATAATAATAATTGTAGTAAAAAGTCTAAAAAAGCTCACGTATCATTCTTCGCACATTCAGTATATTGCTTGGAAGAGATATCCAGGAGGTGATGCTTGATGATTGGACCCCACTGGGATTCAGTGTAAAAACATTGACCGGGGTCTTCTATTGTTGGCCAATCATCACTTTACCTGGAGAATTGAACAATTTATGGACAAACTCTTGTTGATACAACAGGTTGGGAGGAAGAATTAAACAGAGAGGGTTTCTTGTGCAATTTGATAATTCGTCAATTTATTGATAAAAGTACAGGGTTTATGAAGGTATAGTTTCGATAGATCTCTATGAGTGGCACAGAATCAAAATAATACTAAAAATTCATTGGTTAGTAGGCTATCTTTCAACATACAGACTTCTGGTGTATGCCATATGTTTATGTATAATTGTGGATTACCAAATAAATGCTTGATACTCTTATATGTTTATTATTTTATCACTGCAAACTTATCCCACTGCACTGCAAACATTCTGCTCAATCTTTAGATACATCTATGTTAATGATATGTATGAAATACCACTTAATTTACAGTTTATTCCTATAGTTTGTTTCCGACTTAAACGTGAGCCCTGATATTATGCGACACTGTAGTTGAATGTTGTGGCAGACTGGTACAAGATAAAAGGACAAAAACAAGTCTGTCTGAGGTTCCTCTGCGCGTGCCGGCATTAGATACCAATTTTGCTCAGAATTAACATTAGCCAGCCCTGACCTTTGTTGTGGGCAAGCTAATTATGCTGTCGGAGAAGGAGTTACAAGCCAGGCAACTAAAGGTTAATCTCTGTATGTGCGGCATTTCATAGCAAACGAACAGACTCCAGGCACCAAATTCGCTTTGAGTTCATTTTAAATTCTCAACAATTCTCACTTTAGTGAATAATCTGGATTTTGTCAAAGTTTTGCTAATTAATTCAAACTCTGGATAAACTACGTGTTTCTAAGGTCTGAATTCTAAATATACTACAATCCAACAATTCACCGAAAAGGCTAAATACCCTTTTCTTTGGTGGTTGTGAAATAGCAGTTTCCTATTTCCAGCTTCCGTAATTTAAGAAATGTGGAAGGTCTCAATCATTACTACCACAAGCAGAAAAGACTTTGAGAAGTCCAGCAGGTAACTGACCAGCATATATTATTTTATTATTAATCTGATTTCTTAAAAAGAGCCACAATGTTGTGCAGCACTGTATAACCGTCTATAGGTCTATGCTGTATGTTGGTAACCAATCACATGGGAATAGATTATTAAACAGTCCAAAGGGGATTAGAAATTAATCTAAACTGTTTGATATAAAATGCCTGCAACCATTTGCCATTGGGCACTTTATATAACTGAGAAGGGTGACAAAGATGGGTATGGGTTCTATAGATGGCTAAGCTTTGTATGATGATAACTGGCATCTCCCAGTGGTTAGCCGAGCTTGCTGTTGCAGTCACTAGCCGAATAATGTGCCAGGGGACTAGGAATGGTCTGCGGCAGGGGTGGTATAATATGTATGTTCTGCTCCTATTTTGAATGAGTGAAGGTTTATTGGAACTGTAATTATGTAACAGCGGTAAATCTGCATGTGATGTACCTTACACTATCAAAGCAGGATTAACCCTTTAAGGACACATGACGGAAATATTCTGTTATGATCCCTTTTATTTCTGAAGTTGTTTCCTTAAGGGATTAAACATAAATTGGCCTTGGGCAGTCGACTAGGGCGCAGGAGTTTAGCAGGGACCCCCGAACCATGAATGCTCTTGGTCCCATTCAATATTCCTATGTAAAGAATAAAAGGGGGCCCAAACTGGTAACCTACCTAGGATCCTAGGGGTCCTAATCCTTCTCGGTACGCTACGCAGAGAGTCCTTAGAATCTACAAATATCCTAAACATGGCACTGTACCTTCTGCAAAGGAAAATATCTCAGGAAGGGCAGCGCATTTAACCCATTATGGACCAATGATATTTCATGCCATCATCACAATCTCTGACTAAGTCAGTATGTCCTGCGTATTAACCAATATTTACAGATCTGCCCCTTTAAATGAGTGGGACATTCCCCTTTCATATAGTTGTTGCTCCTTAGCTAAAATAAAGGATTGTAAAGACAACACATGCAGTGCACTGTCAAGGAAGGCTTGAATTCTATATTTATTTTCTCTAGAATGATGGTTCTCCATTGCAGTAATTAAAAGAACCTGCAAAACGAAGCATTGTTAAAAAGAGAGATTTTTTTTCACCAGGGTTTTTATTGATTAATTTATTTATTGTCTACATCTACTCTTAGGTCTCAAGAAATTAATTATAAGAAATATATTGGCACCAACATAGTCTGGAGCACTGTACAACAGAGATATTAAAATAGCAAAGCATTGCCAAGCAAGTTCAGGTGTACATAAACAAGATGTGAAGTGGGTGCTGTTCCGATGATTATTAGAGCTCTTTATCAGTAGAGTTTTAGCCTGGGGGGAGAGCAGACAGCCCAACGTGACCATTGGCAGCAGGGGTACACAGAGAATTCCCCTCTTACTGGAGCAGGTACCAGAACGTGGCCGGCAGACTGAAATGAGCATTGCATGGGGGTGCAGGGGGGCTGCTGGGATCAGTATGTTAGCTCACTGTACAGCTCCCCCTCTGCGCCATGCTCTAAGCCAGGAGATGGGATGTAACATCACTCCATTGTTAGTACATAGCTGCGTACAGGGTGATCCTGGCAGCAAACTACTAGGCATCAGGGATAAAAGATTGAAATATATATCAAATATGTGTGTGTGCGTGAGTGTATGAATGTCAGTGTGTGAGTATTCATGTGTGTATATGTGAGTGAGTGTGTATGTGTGTGTGTGTGTATATAAATATGGATATGTGTGTATGAATACTTAAGTGTGTTTATGTGAGTGTGTAATTGTGTGTGTATATAAGTATGGATATGTGTATAAGAAACAATACTGCTGCAACTTCTATTACCCCGATTTATACTTTTTTATGAATGAAACTAACTGCATCAATTCCTGGGGAGCCTGCACTGATTGTATTAATGTATGCATTTTTTTAAAATTAACTTGCACAATCAGCTAGTATTCATTTATTTGTCGAATAACTCTGGAATCATGTGGGATCTTTTTTCTGAGTCATTTGTAAAAAAAAAACAATCAAATTATTTTGATGAATTTGAACTGGAATTAATATGAATCAATTCAGAGATCAAAAATCCAGTGAACTGCAGTTCTCTCCCCCCGCCACCCCAGTTTATAAAATTATTTGATTCACCCAATACGAATGCAGATATATTTGAAGCTAACACAAGCTATATACTATAGCAGCTATTAATGTTCAACAGATAGTTCATTCATTATTATAAAGCTGGATATGTGAGAGGCACAGCATTCACATGAAAACAACAGGAGGATCAGGATTGGCTGAGCAAACCCAGCCATTTCCTGGTCTCTTTAGAATTTGACACTCCTCCACCAATTAATTCTGTCCAAGCACGAACAGACGTGTTTTGCATTTTTATCGAGGTACGGGCATAAAAGTGTCAAAACACTTTCAGGAAACAGTGTGCGCAATTAGCTTTCCTTTCTGTACTGCAGCTTAGGCAACACACGCACTGAATGTGCAATATCTCTAAGTAAAACGGATTTCATTCGCTTTGGGGGAATGCCAACATTTTTTTTTTCTTTGCTGTTTACCAAGTGAAAATCGAATTGGAATTGTAACACTATATCACGATAATATTAATAAAAATGATACAATTTAGTTTGCAGGTATGTTTTGGGATGTAGATAGTTTTCACACATATCATCCTCGGGAGTCAGAAACATCAAAAGGCACAGCTGATCCTACTGGGAATACGACCTGTGACTATGAGGACTGAAAAGATCCCAAAGACAATTAAACAAAAACGAACACACAAATAGTGTTAGAAAAGATGTAAAATGCCCTCCATATGTTAATAATGTGTTTATTTGGACGTATTCTCTGTACCTGTGACAATGACTTCAACCCAGATTACATTTTAAGTCAAATTGATGTAAGAATTGAGTTCTAAAGGGTTCACAAACCTTCTTCCATCAATCTAGCCAGGTATGTACAGAATCCAATCCATGGCTTGCCAGTAGGTACATTAAGATTATTTAATGCATATTTAATGGTATAAACTCTGCCTACTTCGCAACTCAAAGGAGATTTTATTACGCCAGACATGGACAGATCTTCAAACTAAAAACAAACGCACGTCAAAAGACATTTAACCCCTTCTGTGTAGCAACAAACTGTTACAACATGGAATGTACAAATTGTGAAGTATCTTACACAATGCTCTGCCATGTGGTGTAATACTTGGATATGTCTCCATCCAGCCCATCCTCCTTTGGTTAATGATGTCTTTAGGTTTTAAAGGACCCCAGTCACAAACAAACAAACGGCAGACCTGTCACTAAGGCTGGATTTCATTTTAATAGATACAGTGCGTATTATATTACATGATGCTATCTATGGAGCAGTGTAGGCAAATATTTGTTGTACTGGTATTGCCATCAGAAATCTCACAATCTTACCAAAAACATCTTCCAGGTCCCCGTCGAATACATACTCTCATCGACAGTCAGACATAAATACACAAAGCATGCACAAATACCGGCACACTAACACATTCACAGACACATACACAAAGATACACACTGTCAGACACACACAAAGATACACACTGTCAGACACACACACACACACACACACACACACACACAAAGATACACACTGTCAGACATGTACACATACACACACACACACACACACAAAGATACATACTATCAGACACACACACACACACACACACACAAAGATACACTGTTAGACACACACACACAAAGATACACACTGTTAGACACACATACACACAGGGCCGGCGCGTCCATAAGGCAGCACAAGCGGCCGCCAGGCACCATCCCAGAGCACTAGAACAGTGACCGGCAGGAGGTAGGCGCACTGCCCCCTCCTGCCAGTACTTTAGCGTGGCCAGTGGAGCGGACCGTGGTACAAGCTTCTGATTCCTGTCGACACCGAAGGAGTGCTCACTGAGAACACTGAGGGAAGGAACACTATGGGACAGGGAAGGGGGGGAAAGAACACTGGGCAGAGGGATTTGGGACAGGGGAAAAACGCCATGGGGCGGGCAACCACTAAAAAGAGAGGAGAGAACACACTAGGGGAGAGAGAGGAACATTAAGTTGGGGCACTAAGGTACACGGGAGGGAAGAGAAAAGGAACACTGGGGTGTGGGGGAAAAGTAAAAGAGAAGGGAAAGAAACACTAAGGGGAGGACCATTTAGGGGAATGGGGGGCACTAAGAAACAGGTAAGGAGAGGGGGGAGAGGAACACAATGGGACAGGGAGGGGAGGGGAGAGGAACCCTAAGGGACAGGGAAGAAAGGGGAGAGGAACATTAACGGACAGGGAAGGGAGGGGAGAGGAACACTAAGGGACATGGATGGGTGAGGAACACTAAGGGATAGGGAAGAGGACCACTAATGGACAGGAAGGGTAGGGGAGAGGAACACAAAGAAACATGAAGGAGAGAGTGGCACGGCACACAGGGGGGCCTGAGTGGGGAGAAAGACACACAGAGGGACATGAGGGGGGAGAAAGACACACAGATGGGCCTGGGGGTGAGAAAGATGAACAGAGGGGCTGGGGATGAAAGCAACACACAGAAGGGCCTGGGGGTGGAAATACAAATGGACTGAGGGTAAAAGAGACACAGAGGGGCTGGAGAAGAGGGAAAAGAGACACAGAGGGGATGGGGGGAGATAGACTGTCTGGTGGTGAAAGAGAAACACACAAAGGAGCTGGTAAGAGTAAAAGACAAAGAGGCTGGGAGAGAAGGAGACACACAAAGGGGCTGGGGGGAGTAGGACACACATAGGGGGGTTGTAAGAGATAACCAAGGGAGGTGTAAGGCACACAATGGGGAAAAATAGGGGATTAGATACACTAAACGGGGTAAGACAGAGGCAAACAGGTGAAGATGATTTTCTTTTGGGCAGGGGGAGGGTGGGGTGGGAGGGGAGCGTCAAAATAATCTTTGCCTGTGCACCCAAAAATCCTTGCAACGGCCTTGCATACATAAAGACACATACTGTCTGATACACACACATACACAAAGATACACACTGTCAGACACACACACAATATCAGACTGATCAGTCACAGGTGCAGTCCGGAACCGAAATCTACATGAGAGATACAGGTACGATTGAAGACGATCATTTTGGCCTTCATTTATAAATCTCAGATTTGCAATTAATTTATGTGCAGTTTAAGATTTTAATTAGGAATTTTGTGTCCACAAGTTACTAGTAGCTACTTGCGTGGAACTGCTGTGCGGTTTAGCTTTGATAATGAAATGTTTACTAAATGTTTACACCCCAAGTGAACAAACGATCACCCTTATAGAAAACGGAGATCAGTAGGATCGTATACTAAATAGCTCCTGTGGAATTACATTGAAATAAAAATGTAATGATACTTTCTTTAATGAAGGTTTGCTGATGCACTTGGGTTGGTATTAGAGTCTTCATTATCTTGTTTCCATTTGCGTAATTTGTTTTTCACAAGTAATAAGTACGATTTATCACCGTATTATGTCATATGTCAACGCTCTATAAATATTCATTAGTTCAGCATCTTGATTTGATTTGACCTTCCCAGTCCCATGTGTGGGTGACTTTAATTATTTCAAAATAGAAACAAGTTTACAACCCAGAGACTTACAGACAGGCAGGTTTAAATTAACTCTAATTCTATGTGCAATAAAATTTTTAGACTAGAACAGGCCTACTTAAAAAAATTCAAGTGAGCAACTTTTTCAGTTCTGCTGTTTTGGCCACCGAATGTAAAATTTACTTTGAATTCACTTTGAATTCCCTATGATTGACACTTTAGCGAATACATCTATCATATTGCATCATATATAAGCTTTCCTATAAAGGTTTAAATGAGCAAGCCCTCTTACATATAAAACAATAGTTCTAATCACGATCATCGTTTTAGCAACCATCTCTCTAACTTCTAAGCAGTGGCGTACATACCGGGACCCGGTGTGTATGCCACTGTGGCCAGCCTCTTCTCCTGGGGGGCCCAGGAGCCGGCCACCTCAGGGCTCCCCGAGGCTGGCCCTGGTATCACCAGGCGGGCAGGCAGGCTGGCGGGCGCGCGAGGGAGCAGTCTCCCCTGTGTGCTTCCTTTTCAGCTCCCTCGCGCACCGCACTGATTCCGGAGCCGGAAGATGGCGTCATATTTCGGCTCCGGCATCAGTACGCAGCGCGCGAGGGAGCTAAAAAGGGAGCACACAGGGGAGAGTGCTCCCTCGCAAGCACGCCAGCCTGCACGCTAAGTGACACCACTGGCGCCCCAGGGAATCCCCTCAGCTCTCCCAAAGGAAGGGAGGCTGGGGGGATTAAATTTAAAACAAAAAACGTGTGTGTGTGAGTGTGTGTTAGTGTGTGTGTGTTAGTGTGTGTGCGTGTGTGTGTTAGAGTGTGCGTGTGAGTGTGTGTGTTAGTGTGTGTGAATGTGTTAGAGAGTGTGTGTGAGTGTGTTAGAGTGTGTGTGTGAGTGAGTGTGTGTGAGTGTGTGTGTTAGTGTGTGTGAGTGTGAGTGTGTTAGAGTGTGTGAGTGTGTGTGTGTTAATGTGTCTGAGTGTGTGTGCGTGTGTTAGAGTGTGTGTGTGAGTGCGTGTTAGTGTGTGTGAGTGTGTGTGAGTGTGTTAGAGTGTGTGTGTTAGTGTGTGTGTGAGTGTGTTAGAGTATGTGTGAGAGTGTGTGAGAGTGTGTGGGTGTGTGTGAGTGTGTGCGAGTGTGTGTGTTAGTGTGTGTGAGTGTGTGTATTAGTGTTAGAGTGTGTGTGTTAGTGTTAGAGTGTGTTAGTGTGTGTGTGTTAGAGAGTGTGTGTGTGTTAGTGTTAGAGTCTGTGTGTGTGTTAGTGTTAGCGTGTGTGTCTGTGTGTTAGTGTGTGTGTATGTTAGAGTGTGTGTGTGTGTGTTAGTGTGTTAGAGAGTGTGTGTGTGTGTGATAGTGTATGTGTGTTAGAGTGTGTGTGTGTGTTAGTGTGTGTGTGTTAGTGTTAGAGTGTATCAGTGAGTCTGTTACTGAGTGTGTTAGTTTGTGTGCGTCTGTTAGTGAGTGTGTGTTTTATAAGTGAGTGAGTGTGTCTGTCTGTCAGTGAGTGTGTATGTATGTCTGTCACTGAGCGTGTGTCTGTCAGTAAATGTGTGTGTCTGTTAGCTAGTGTGTATGCGTCTGTTCATGAGAGTGTGTTTGTGTCTTAAGCACTTACATTTCTTCAATGCCAGACTCCCTTGGTGCTGGGGATCTCTCCGCCCCGATCTGCCTCTCAGCTCCAAATGCGCATGCGTGGCAAGAGCCGCGCGCGCATTCAAACCGCCCATAGGAAAGCATTACTCAATGCTTTCCTATGGACGTTCAGCGTCTTCTCACTGTGATTTTCACAGTGAGAATCGCAGAAGCTCCTCTAGCGGTTGTCAGTGAGACAGCCACTACAGGCTGGTTTAACCCTCAGTGAAACATAGCAGTTTCTCTGAAACTGCTATGTTTTCAGCTGCAGGGTTAAAACTAGAGGGACCTGGCACCCAGACCACTTCATTGAGCTGATGTGATCTGGGTGTCTGTAGTGGTCCTTTAAGTGTATGTGTATCTGCATGCACTGGCGTACATACCGCGGTCGCAGGGGTCGCAGCCCTGCAACCCCTGCGACTAGGTGCCCGCCGCCATGTGTTGCGGCCCCAGCCTGCGCAGAGTAAGTGCGCAGGGGGGGAGGGGCCCACAGATCAGGACCCCATGGGTTGTGTGTACGCCACTGCTTCTAAGGGTGTATTGCAAAATTAATGAAAGTCATTCCTACTTAACTGTTTCTTGTCATCTTCTCTTTTTCAGGATTTGAACAAAGTTATGGCTGGTTCAATAGTGGTTGATGGCAACTTTTTCGATGACTTCGATTTCACCAGCGGTTACTATAGCTACACTGGTATCCCATCTTTCTCCAACACTCCCTGTAGAGACCCATGGAAAGTGAATAAATATGCTTTAGCATTTATATATTCAGTTGTTTTCCTTCTAAATGTTGTTGGGAATAGTCTTGTTGTTGTGGTAATCTGTTACAACAAGCTGAAGAGGTCGACCACAGATGTCTACCTACTAAACCTGGCCATCGCGGATCTTTTATTTGCAATTACCCTACCATTCTGGGCAACGTATAAGGTTAGAGAATGGATATTTGGCTCCTTTATGTGTAAGACTATATCCATTCTACAAGAAGTCAATTTCTACAGCGGGATCCTTCTCTTGGCTTGCATCAGTATTGATCGATACATTGCTATTGTCCATGCCACAGAAGCCATCAACCATAAGAGACATTGGGTAAAATATATTTGCTTGGGGATTTGGCTTTTTTCATTCGTCATTGCTTTTCCAACCATATTGTTCAGACAAGTACTTGACACCCCAAAAAATGGAATAGTCTGCTACGAAAATATTGGGCATGAAAATACAGAGAAATGGTTGATCATTTTGAGAATAGGTCGCCATTTGGTTGGATTCTTCATTCCTTTGCTGATCATGCTTTTCTGTTATGGGTTTACTATTAAAACTCTCTCTCAAACCAAAAGTGGCCAAAAGCACAAAGCAATGAAAGTCATATTTGCTGTGGTTATCGTCTTCCTTATTTGCTGGCTTCCATACAATGTTACAGTCATTGTTGATTCATTGATGAGGATAGGTACTATAAACGAAACCTGTGAAATAAGACAACATTTGGATAGTGCTCTCTCTATTACTGAAATTTTTGGCTATGCACATAGCTGTATCAACCCCATAATCTACGCTTTCATCGGGCAGAAATTCCGAAATAGTTTCTTAAGAATCTTGGCCACCAATGGTATCATCAGCAAAGACTTTCTCTCTCGTCATGGAAGGAGTTCTTCATATGTATCGACATCTGGAAACACATCCACAACAATGTAACTGAAAGATCACATCGTGTTCCACTCCAAGTCCATCTTATAATTTAAAACCAGCTTCTATATGGAACATAATCGTTGATGTATATGCAATGGAACATGCTAATTTCCTGTCTATTCCCCCTACCTTTCCAACCAAGCGGCTTGTCTCTGAAGACCACACCAACATGGTAAAAGTATAGTTGAATCTCAACACTCCGTTGGGTGCACTTATAAAACAATTATTGCTACAAATAGTTTGCCATAGTTGCACCAAATATTAATCAGCAATACAAAAAAATAATATTAAAAGGCAAGGCTAATTTATAGTTTTATGCCAGTTTTGTCTTATATAATGTCTATAAAACTTGAAAGCAGTGAACAAGAAATTATCTATGACATATACAAAAAAATTACCGTCTGAGATGAAAAGTTCCAATAGTGTCTTTTCCAATCTCATAGATAAGACCACATTTAACGCTAGATGATGCATCTAATAAAATGTGTGTAACCTTTCCATGGACACCTTCCATTGTTACCACTATTTTCATCTTTCATTATTTCACTGTTGGGCTGTTTAGTGCACAGTTTGACAAACATACCATCAGGAGCTTCTGCCATGACCCAGATTTCAAAGATTCCACTGCTGGCACTAAGGTGTCTGCATGAAAATGGCCAACCTCTGCTTGACTTACCTGTTCTACAACGGCAATATCATGACATTCCATTCCATGGCTGGCCTCCAGTGGTGTTTTGGTGGAGACTGGTTCCGTGAGCATACTCCCAAGCCTTTACTCTTCAGCATCTCTGTAACCGAATGTCCCCATCATTCTGGACATTCAATTTATCAGCTAAAATACATGGAGGATAACCTGAATAAACAGATCCTTCCAAATTAGAAAGTGTAAAAAGATGTACATAGAATATATTGCCAGAAAACCAATTTTAACTGAATTCTGAATTAACAATGAGTATGCACATTTAAAAAAAAATCAATTATTAATTATTTCCAAGTAACTATTTTTATATCTCCATTTAATTGCATAACAAATATGTATTGTTTGTGTTTTTATCAGTAAAGTCTGCAAATGTTAAATAAAATAAGACCAGACCTTTTTGGTGCTGTTTCTTCCTGCAATAATATATATTTATGACGTAATGCTGGTACAAGCAGATACATATATACAATATGTAACATGATATAACCATACTGTTACAGTAAAAATGGCTAAAAGCACAAAACGTAGGACAACAAATAGAGACAATAGAATAGATATATTACCTTAGAATGACCGGTTTAACGTGCAAAAGAGAGATATCGTAGTTGATATACGAGTCAAGGTCAGAATAATGGAGAGACAGGATAAACGTAGATACTAGTCAGGAGTCAGGATAACAGAAAATGGGGAAAACATACAGACCAGCTGGGACAGGGTTACAGAGTAACTCAGAATCCAGAAACAAGCCAAGGTCAATATTACAAAACACAGACAAGGTAATAGGAACGAGCGAAAACAGGTACTGAAACAGAACCCACCCACTGTAAATGGTGCCAGGGAACTTTAAATAGTGTCACATTTAAACTGATTGGTCCACATAACTCCTGCAACCCACTTCTTCATAAAAGCGTATCAATTAAACTGTTAATAGCTCCTGACTGATTCCTCTTCTGCAACTGTCATTAGTCTAATACTATCCTCACCTTTTTGTGTCATTTTACCCCACTCCCTCTAGCATGTAAGCTCATTGAGCAGGGCCCTCAACCCCTCTGTTCCTGTGTGTCCAACTTGTCTGGTTACAACTACATGTCTGTTCGTCCACCCATTGTAAAGCGCTGTGGAATTTGACGGTGCTCTATAAATATAATAATAATAATAATAATAACCCCAAAACATGTCAGAACAAGGTTGCTGGGACCAGAAATGACGCAGTGTGCCTTAATGTTACTATGAGGAGGGCCGCATGCAGGGTTCACTTGATTGATAGACCTGCACTTGTAATACTACACCCTATTGCACAGGTCGTGTATAGTAAATATTAAATACCCTTGCATTTAACTTACTGATAAACAATGTGTAAATTACTATAACTATATGGCTAACGTAGCTCACGTTAGATGTAACTACAGAAGATGTGTAGACAGTCAATATATTATAAGAGCGTGGGAAAGTGTCATGCTAGAATTTCATTGGGAGAAATGGCTTATCCTGCACTAGTTTCCAATGCCTCCCGCAGGCACTAAATCACACGTTTAGAGATATTGGAACTTCATCACAAAGAATAGGAAAGATAAAGGTTCACCTGATATAGTAAAACATTTTACAGGTACGGAAACATATCACTATTGTAAGAGAAACATTCTGCAAGCCACAATGACAGCTCGGTTCTTCATCCTGAATTCTGCAAATCACAGTCTAGTGAATCGACCCTAAAGAGGGAATAAGCTCTGGCTTCCAAACCAGCAATAAGTTTAACGATTCCTTGTCACATAACTTTCACCATGATTGTAAACCACATTCTAATTAAAGTATTAAAGAATATTATTGGATGGATGGGATTTATCACCAGTAGCCAGGTGTGATGAATTCTTTGATTTTTAGATACGATTTTGAATATTACATCTTTAAATAGCAAAAATAAGTTCCAAACCTTAAACAGGAACTGTCGAAAACGTACTTCATCCCACTACTCTACTGCATTTGCATCCTTTCCATCATCCCATGATTCCTTGGCCAGCAAAATATACGAGGATGAAAATGAAAAAGACAATGAATGAGATTTTTTTTAGTAAAACCAATAGTTAGCTTTTAGTCTGCTATTTGGTTGTGCTGACATTTCATAAGTGACAGTTCCTCTTTCAGGGTTGGATCCAGTGCCCAAACTCAAAATTCCCTAAACTTTAATGGTGATTTCTGCTGATAAATCAATTTTAAAAAATCTGCTTAAAAATATCCAAATATGATTGTTCTGTATGTTGTTGGGCTGTACAGGAAAGTGGCTGACTTAAGGGGTGTACAAATCACATACTGAAAAATATTAGTTAAATAATTAAAGAGGATTTCAGAGAAAAGTTATTGATTAATTAATTAAGTTCCCTCTTGCACTATCTCAATTCTATATGCTAGAAGCCAGAAGAGGTCGTGTATGTCTCAACAGGACGGAGAGGTTGCAGCTTCTTCCCACAAATTGTCCTACAATTTTTTCATTTTATTTTTTAAGACACCTTTTATGTGTGTGTGTGGTGGGGAGGGGGGGGTGTGGGAGAGAGGTTGTGGATGGGGCACAGGCAAGCTACATTTGTGCTCTGCGACTAGTCAAAGTCTCACCTTACAGGGCAACTACATCCGCTCTTATTGTAGCTGCTAGCCCTACTAGTCCACTAGCCGGTCTGCTATTATGGATGGCTGGGAAGATATGGAGGGCCAGTTCAGGTGGGCAGTGAAATGTTTTAATTACTTTTTTTTTTTTAACTAGTGGCAAGTCACAGGAGAAATGCATTCCTGGCTAGTGAATGAGGAAATGCAGGCCATATTGTAAGCCACTCACATACTCTTCTCTGTTTGGCAATGATTGTCCACTCGTGCAGCCCCAGTGAGGATACTACCAACCTGGCTACCAACACAGGGCTGGTGGTGACAGACAGGAACTGGGGGTAGAATACGACATATGGAATAAAACATAAAACGATATGGTGTATGGGTTCATGGGTCAAAATATGAAATGCTATGGAAATATGTGGGGCGGGGGGGGGGAATATAAAATTCGCCATAGGGATCTGTTGGATGAAATATGAAGTGATTATGGTGAGTGGGGTCAAGGGTTGAAATAAAAAATATGTTGTATGAGATTATGGGGTGGAATGATATGCACTCATAATACCTTTGTGACTTTTGGCCTAGCCCCCCCCAGAAAAGTTTACCCCTCTCTGGCAACCTTGCATCCGACCCTAATTCCATAAAATGGACCTGAATAGATTACACTGATTACTGGAAACATCTTCTGAAATAGTTCACACTGTGTTATAATCTGTGACTTTATTTAATGATTAATATTATTCCTGTTCTTTCTTTGCCCAACATGTGATAAAAAAAACCAGAAAAAAAACCGTTTGCAATATAGCAAATTAATGCTCACTAAAACTATTGTTAAGCTACAAAGACACATTGTCTAATCTTATCTTTACAGTAAAATAAAGTCACAAACTGACAGAGATTGAGAAACTTGTGTTTGATTACGATAAAAGAATACATTTTCCTATTTAGAGAGTTCTAGAAGTTAAATCCAGCTCATATTACAGGGCGCCGTCACACCCACTATGGCGTGCTGCTGTAAGTGTATTCAATAAATTCTGAATGTGACAAACGCAAATCCAGAGAAAGACCTTCTGGGATGCATTGGGACAATCTGGATAATTCAACAAATTTATTATCCCCCAAAATGTACTAAACTGCAGTGATCTATGTGTGTTCTGACTTGGAATCCATCCAAATCAGCGAGGTAGAGTTCTACAAAACACTCAGAATAGAGGAGGAATCACTGGAGAATGGACTCTAAAATGGTTCCTGCACATCCCTAGGTCCAAGGAGAGATCTTGCTGGGTGGACCTCCCAACCCTTCATCCATGCTCGTTAGGGGAGATGTTAAAATAAATTCATGGTGGCTTAATGGAGCTCAGTGACAATGTCTACAGTGAGATACCGATTGGCATGAACTATGGTGGGGACATTGTAACTGCATTAATGTGGGTCATCATTTGTTTACATCTTCTCTCCTATTATAGACCAGCCAAGAAATATTGAGATTTCTTTATCATTTCAAAAGAGGAAACATGGTGCAGGTTTATTGAGGCAATAAAGGGGAATCTTAGCTGCGGGTTTCACATACAGGATGTATTTATGTGTGGGAGACAGATTTGTCTATAATTCTCACTGCAGCATTACATTGGGCCCCGGCCAAGCTAATCACAAACTGCATTAGATGGCGCTCCGGTTTTAGTACATTTGGGTTTGTTCTCCCTTGTTTTTGTTTGGGGGGATTTACCGACTGGATTTCTATTTGTAGAGCTGCAGTGGGGAAGCAGCTCCCCCCCCCCATTTTACTGAGGATGGTTTCAGGTAGGGGTTAAATAAAATAGCGTATTTGCACACGGGCTTGATCTGCATTTCTAAAAATTTGTTAATTTGTTTAACTATAGCCCCTGCAATCCCAATAAAATAAATGGGAGCCATAGACCATTTCCCTGTTTCTATTTTTTATCTTTCCAATTAAAGCCTCCAAAGCAATGGTCAATGTATGTAAAGAATCTGCCCATTAACTATGAGACATAGAGAATCTGCCCATTCACCCTAAGACCATGAGAATCTGCCCACTAACCACGAGACCATGAGAATCTGCCCATTAACCATAAAAATCTGTCCATTCACTATGAGACCATAAGAATCTGCCCATTCACTGTGAGACACTGAGAATCTGCCCATTCACCCTGAGACCTTAACAATCTGCCCATTCACTATGAGACCATGAGAATCTGCCCATTCACCCTGAGACCATGAGGATCTGCCCATTGACCATTAAACCATGAGAATCTGCCCATTCACCAGGATAATCTGCCAATTCACCATGAAACTGTAAGAATCTGCCCATTCACCCTAAGACCATGAAAATATGCCCAGTCACCAGGAGACCATGAGAATATGCCAATTTACCATGAGACCATGGCATGAGAATCTGCCCATTCACCATGAGACCATAAGAATCTGCCCATTCACTATAAGACCATGAGAATCTGCCCAGTCACTATGAGACCATGAGAATCCCTCCATTTACCATAAGACAATTAGAATTTGCCCATTTACCATAAGACCATAAGAATCTGCCCGTTCACTATGAGACCATGAGAATCTGCCCATTCACCCAGAGACCATGAGGATCTGCCCATTCACCATTAAACCACGAGAATCTGCCCATTCACCGGGAGAATATGCCCAGTTACCAGGAGACCATAAGAATCTGCCCGTTCACTATGAGACCATGAGAATCTCTCAATTTACCATAAGACAATTAGAATTTGCCCATTTACCATGAGACCATAAGAATCTGCCGGTTCACTA